GACACTTGGAAAGCAGCTTGCCAGGGTGGAGTGCATCATCAGCTCCCCCACGCCACCCTGGCCACATCCCCCCCAACAGAGAAGGGAACTTGCAGCAGAATGCACTTGTGCTGGAGGGCTCAAGTACAGCCCATGTGAAAACACACTTCTGTGTTACCTGAGACCTGGAAGGTCATGGAATTTAAAAACACATGACAAGAACACTCAGCCTCCACTTGCTGTTCCCCTTCAAGTATGGCATCCGTGGTATCCCATTAACTGGTGAGCACTTCTGCTCTATTTATGGCGTTCTGTTTGATATCTTACTAATACACATATGGCACTGGAATCGTGTCACTAATTCTCAGGGTTCTAACTCCCCCCTCGCCAAGGAACCTCCTGAGAAGTTGGGTTCCCAACTCTGGGAGCTGCGGCTTTTCTCAGACAGGACACGCTGGGTTTTGGAACCATGTTGAATAACACACTGAGGGGAGAACACCCAGTGAAAGAGGAAAGTGATGCAACTTTACTGGAAGCTGTGTCCGGCTAGAGCACTGTTCTGCATTGCCCTCAGGTCATCATTAGCAGCCAGACACACACTGTGACTCGGAATGCTTGGGGTGCCCATCTGGGCCCATACAAGCCATGGCAGCCCACTCACACATTTTCTGATGGGAGCCAGCGCTGAGGCTGGACAGGCCTTCGTGCTTCCTCTCGGGACTGCACGACACACCCAGCAGCAACCGCCAGGAAGAGGGAGCTTTGAAAAGACCAGGTTTATCACTCAGAGATCTCAAACAGCACATGGCACAGCCAGGCCACACAGCACCGTCACGGGTAAGGGAGAGAGAAGGGACACAGACGTGGGGCTCTGCCTTCACTGGGGCCCAGGGCAGGGTGCTTAGGCTTTCACCAGTTCCATTTTTATTGGCAAACTCAAAACATAAAAAGGGGAATTAGGTGTTCTAACTAGGGAGAATTGGGGTCCTCAAGCGGTCAGTTATCTAGGTCACCTTGGGTTTTCTTGAAGGGGAACTGCATGGGTAGGTTGGTCCTTTATCTAGTGGAGTATCTGGGAACATGCTCATGTGAGGTGAGTGCCTTTTAAACAAGTGCCTTGGCAATCAGCAATTGAAAGCTTGGTGCCAGGCACTTAACACTACAACTAAAAAAAGCTTATTATCAGTCACTGGCACTCCAGAGACCTACATACACATCATGGCCCTGGTAAAAAGATTCGATACCTAAGATGTGATGTCACCCCAATCTAAATCTGTAGATCCGGTTCAGGTCCAGCATAAACCTCATCAGAATATTTTGGGGAAAGCCTGATTCTAACGTGTGTGGGTGAAGATGAAAAGGGAACTCCTTGCTCTTCCAGCTGCTGGTTTCTAGAATTCTACACTCTGTGTAGTTAAGACGAGGGGCTTGAAATCGCGATAGAAAAAGAAGGCAGAACAGACAATTCCACAGAGAAAGTCTGTGCCCGAAGGAGACCTTACTTGTCAGAACAGGCCCTGCAAGGATGTGGGTGGGAGGAACTGCTTAATGATTCTGGTGGCAGCACAGAAAATCTCATGGAGAGGGTGCAATTGGATACTTATAAAGGAAAATATGTGCAGAAGTCAGCTCCCTGTATCAAGGCCCTAATGGTTAAAGATGGAGCATTCCAGCTTTGATCCTTAATGTATAACATCAGGAGGGCCTCCGAAATAAGATGCAGAGATTAAAAGGTTGATAAATTTAACTCACTTAAACTACCATTTATCAAAAAAAATTTTTTTTAAGTGAGCAAAGTGATACAGGCACAACTTGAAGAAGACGTTTACAACACATGGAACCAAAGACTTATGTATATCAGAATATGTAAAGAAAACATGATTCAAATGGGTAAAAAACACAATCAGATTTTATGAAGAAAATATAGGAAAAAAAAATTTTTGTTTAGTGATGTCTGTAAAACTACAGAGCAAACAATGCACTGATCATGTGATTTTCGTCAAGTTTGGAATAGAATCTGTGGGGCGAAAGTGAGTTCACAGAGGGCCTGGAAGTTCCCTCTGTGTTAACTTAGTGTTTGCTCCATACTTGTTTGTTTTATTATTTTTCAAATATTCAGTTCAGTTCAGTTCAGTCACTCAGCCGTGTCCGACTCTTTGCGACCCCATGAATCGCAGCACGCCAGACATCCCTGTCCATCACCAACTTCCGGAGTTTATTCAAACTCATGTCCATTGAGTCAGCGATGCCATCCAGCCATCTCATCCTCCATCGTCCCCTTCTCCTCCTGCCCTCAATCCCTCCCAGCATCAGGGTCTTTTCCAATGAGTCATCTCTTTGCATGAGGTGGCCAAAGTATTGGAGTTTCAGCCTCAGCATCAGTCCTTCCAATGAACACCCAGGACTGATCACCTTTAGGATGGACTGGTTGGATCTCCTTGCAGTCCAAGGGACTCTCAAGAATTTTCTCCAACACCACAGTTCAGAAGCATCAATTTTTCAGTGCTCAGCTTTCTTCACAGTCCAACTCTCACATCCATACATGACCACTAGGAATGCTCTTTTACACGTAAATCAAGAATACAGGTAGTGATGTGCACCAGCAGAGAAACTCACACTCTGGTAGGAAGGAGCACTGCTCACCACTGACGTGACCCTTCTTCTGGCACCTTCTGTGGAGGCCTGTGGCCACACGTGCACCCCTGCCCGTCTGCCCAGCAGTGGCTGCACCGGGCCCATGAGCCGTGCACCAGGCCCTGGCTGGTGGCGTCCCGGAACCTGCCATCCCACCCATCTCTGGAGATGCCTGTGAGACCTCCCTGTAAGGGCACACAGCTCTTTGCGTCCGGGATCAACGTCAGGTGGGGAGCCAAGGTCACAGGCTTGTGCAGCAGGCGCTGAGTGCTGTGTGTGGCAGTCGTGCAGATCCACAGGCTGTGGTGTGTGGGTTCACCATCGGGGGCCTCGAGAGACACAAGGTGCACTCGCGCGTGCAAGTTCCTTCACGCCAGCCGCTCCCCAGGAGCCCCTCGTGTGGAGACGACCCCAGCTGTCCCCTGAAGCCTGTGACCCAGGTCCCCAGCAGCGTGCTCCCGGTTCTCCCAGGGCAGCGGCCGCTGTGCCTCCCAGCGTCTGGGCCCTGCAGTCCCCTCCCCTCCACCAACATACACTCCAGCTGCTGCTTCCCATGATGTCACCTCCTCACCTCCTCAGACTGCCCCCTGAGAACTGCACCTCTCCCCTTGGCATAGCGTGTGTCTCCCTGTGGCACTCACTACCACCTCACATATAACATGTTCATATATATTTGTCTCCCTCCTCTGGGAGACAGTCTTCTGTTTATTTTCCATCCACCTGTTATAGTGTTCTGCTACCATGACGTTATGGCAAACTTAGCAATTTAATTGAAACAATGTATTTATTAAGCAGCCTTATTGTAGTCATCATTTTATAATATATACATATATAAAATCATGACATTGTACACCTTAAACTTATACAATGATATGTGTCCATTGTATCTCAATAGTTAAAACATTAAAAAACAGAACAACACTTGCATTATCTTCTAGTTCTACAGGTCAGACAGTGAATCTGCCTGGGGTCTCAGCTCTGGGTTTCGCATGGCCAGAATCATGGTGTCGGCAAGGCTGCCCTCCCTTCTAGAAGCTCTAGGGACAAGTCTACATCCAGCCCCTCAGGCTGCGGGCAGGATTCAGTTGCATGATCTGCAGGTTGAAGCCTCTGTTTCTTGCTGGCTGTCACCAGGAGTCATTCTTGCCCATAGAAGGGCTACCCCCATGCCTTGGGTCATGGCCCCTTCCTATACCTCTAAAACCAACAACAGAAGTTGAGTCCTTGCTTTCTGCTTCGAATCTCTAGGAGCTGGGTCTCTCTGACTGTCCTCAACTTGAGAAAGCTCTGTTTTTAAGGACTAAAGTGGTTATATTGGGGCCACTGGGAACATCTAGGAAATTTCCTGATTTTGAGGCCCATTTGCACGGTGCCTTTTGCAATGTAAGGAAACAGTCACAGACATGATGCCAGGGTTAAAGTTCCTGCTGCCTGTGTCACCTGCCTGCCAGGACAGTGCAGACAATCAGACAAGTGCCTTCTGCAAAGTGAGACCTTTAGAGGAGCTGATGTAGTCAACCGCTGCTCCAAGTTGTTAGAACCACAAACAAATGGAGACCAGACATGAAAACTCACTGAGCAGACAACCAGCTTCGTCCTACAAATGAAGCTTAATTTAGCTTATTTTGTAAGGCTAACTTGACCTGGGTCATTGGCCTCTAAGAATTAGAAGCAAAACTTAAACTGTTTCCCAGGGTTGACGTGAGGTAACTACTGACTGATCCTGTATCACTTAAGAAAATTCTAATATTGTAAGCAACCACTTTGAGTGATAAACCATCAACTCTTTCCAGCTACACAAGCTGCTTTATGATAGTGTACCTCTGAGCCTCAATCCATGCTTTGGTTTGAGTGCTCCGGGTTTGGTTTGAGTGCAGACTGTCTTTTTGGTGTGTGCACAGTGAACTGACTCATTGCTTCTTGGGTGATTCATCCTGTTTACTTTGACTCTTAATGAACCGTGGACAAGGTGCTCTACGAGTTACACCCTGACGGAGCTCTCGCCAGCTCCATTGTAACAGTGGACAGCAGGCATTGTTACTGCTGGCCTAAGAAGCGGGCATTGTCACAATCCCGTTCTCAGGTAGAAGCACTGAGCACAGAACAGGAGGCTTGCCCCGGACCACAGAGCTGGGAGAGCCCCAGGCCCTGTGGTCGGCCCCTGCACAGTCCGTGGGAAGCACCGGGCCTGACTTCTGAGCGCTCCGCCCTGTAGAAACGAGAAGGGCTCTGACCGCGTAGCTGTCTGCCCTGGTCTGCCTGCCTGTGCTTTCTGTAGGGCATCCCACTCTTCAGTCATCCCTGTCACTACTTTTATAAACATGTGTGGTTGTGCCGGGCTGCAAACGGTTCCAGGCTAGCACCACTTTGTGTCCCCTGCCATGCAGATGCATACCCTAATTCCGAAGTCGTCTATGTCTGGACCAACGGCACCGCCAAGTCAGTGGTGGTGGCAGAAGACGGCTCCAGGCTGAACCAGTACCACCTCATGGGGCAGACCGTGGGCACGGAGAACATCAGCACCAGCACAGGTAGTAGCCCTCCTCTCGCGCACCCCACGCGGGCGCACGCCGGGGGGAGCCCCGGCTCTCCTGAGCCACAGGGAGCCGCCTTGTCCAGCCCTTCCTCCGGCGCGCACGGAGGCGCAGCTGCAGCGTCCCCGCACTGAGGGTCACGAGGGCCGTTAATCCGAAGTGCATTTGCCCCCATGTGAGCATCAGTGACCCGGGGCCCTGCTTATGTAACAGTCCTGCAGAGCACCGAGACGCCAGCAGCAGCCTCTGCAGCAGAGTCAGAGAGCTGCCTGCACATCCTCCCGTTTACCTGCTCTGCTGTTTCCCTGTTTGAACATTTCAGGGATTTCCCCAGGGGTTGAATTTTGGAAATCACAGTGAGCTGCATAGAAATAGCCAAGGCCTTCGTGGGTGCAGTTAACTCCCACAGGCACCGGGCGGGCTTGAACCCGCAGGGCAGCACAAGCCTGGCTTCACCCAGTGCCAAGTGGGCAGGGTCTCCGAAGGAACACAGTGCATTCCTGGCCTACAGCGACATGCGGTGTCCTCAGATCCCAGCCCCAGTGGTCACAATCACCAGCTTGGCTGTGAAGCAGGGGAGGGCCCTCCAGGGTGCCAAATGGCAGGAGAAATGTGGGATAAGGATGGAGTGAGTCCTGCTTGGAGCATGAGTTCTAAGCCCTAGATGGTCCCCAGTCAGCATCCAGCATCGCTCTGTCAGCATCACTACCCCTGGGAGCTGGCCGGAAGCAAGGGACGCACATTGCAGCCTTCCACTCCGTGCCGGTCCACTGGACAGGGCTGGTTCCTCGGAAGGGGCCTGGCAGGCCTGGGAAGAGGCTGCTGCGTTCAAGGGAAAGGAAGAGTCAGCAGGCCCAGTTTTACGGGAACAAGTGGGAAGGTGGCATGGCTGCAATGCTAGTAAAGAGTGCTACTGTTTCATGTCATTCTGTGAACATTTTTCAATGGGATTCCGCCCCTATTTGCATTCAAAAAAATGACCTTTTTTGAATGTTATCTTATATTGCTATCCTCGACACAAAAATAAAACAGAATGAAAAGAACCATAACAGCAAAAGAATTTATAAGTAGGAGAGTCACTTCAAATCCGAATGCAAAGAAACAGAATGGCATTTTCCCTCTTCTCAAGCACTGAGAGGCAAAATCAGATCATGGTAAAGATGTCTTTGCTACTAACATACCTCCCCCCCGCTTCTCTCTGTCCCTGTCTCCTTCCGCAGGACGGAGCCCGTTCCCCTCCTCTCCCCTTCCTGGGGCTGTGGGCTGGGCGTGGTGCGTCTCGACCCTGTGGGAATTGTGGTCTCCTCTTCTGTAGGGAGCAGGTTTTGCCACACGTGACATTAATTCGTGCTGTGAGGCAAGGCACATAGGGACACGTGCGCAGCTGACCTTACTGAGCTCTAGGCTTTGATTCTAGCAGCGACTGTGCACGTTTCAACCAGTTTCAAATGTCTCAACACTGTGCCCATGCTGCAGTCTGACCACCTCAAACAGATGGCCCCATCTGGGGTCCATATCAGCAGAGGCCCCCGACCCTCCACCCGCGTCAACAGTTCTGCCAGGCTTGCTGGCCACACCGTCTGATTTTTCCAATCAGTCAAAGGACTCTTGTCCTCAGATCAACTCAGCTCTGCCTTCACGTCTGGAAGCATCCTTCCCGTCTCCCCAGGGAGATGCAGACTCAACGCAGCAAAGGATCCCATCTCACCCGCTCCCCCTCTAGCCGCCTTGGCTCCTTACCAGTTCACCGTCAGTGCAGCGTCGTTCTCCACGATGAAGGGGAGGTCGGCGCTTGCCTCCCACACCACCAGGCAGATCCAGAGAAGGCACTGGGGCATTGCCGAGGAGACACCCTCGCTCTCCTTGGGAGGCGCGGGAGCTCGGCGCAGTCAGGACCCGCCGCCTTCTGGGTCTGCTGCGTCTCACCGCCAGCCAGGGGCGGGGCGCTGAGCCTGTGGGGGCCTGGAAGCCCACCACCCCTACCAGCCCTCTCTGGCTGGGAAATGAGGAGAAACCCTCCACCCGCGACAGGGCTCTGTGGTGTCCTGAGTTGTACGTAGAGAGGCTAAATCCTGAAATCCCGAGGGCAGTGGCAGCGAGGGGGGCAGGTGGAGAGCGGCACAGATTGTATCCAGGGATTAGGAAAACACACAAATCTGATTTTCCCCAGAAAAGCATCCGCCAGCAGAGGCTCTTCAGAGGCTGGGGGGTCAGGAGACTCATAAAACCACCAGCCTCTCCTTCCCCCGAGCAACACGATTAAATGCTTGTCCAGAGAGAAGGTGGAGAGAAGGGAGACTCCCGAGCAGACTGTGACCCGGGGCAGGAACCGCAGGGCGGGGCTGTAGGGCTCCCTTCAGGTGGCTGACCGCACTGACTTGCTTCTTTGCAGGGGAATACACAGTCATGACAGCCCATTTCCACCTGAAGAGGAGGATCGGGTACTTTGTCATCCAGACCTACCTCCCCTGCATAATGACCGTGATCCTGTCCCAGGTGTCCTTTTGGCTGAACCGAGAGTCAGTTCCCGCCAGGACAGTGTTCGGTGAGTGTACCTAACCCAGGCCTGCAGACTGTGTTCTGCCTGGTCTAACATCCCAAGACAACAGCCTGCAGCTGCCTGTCTGTTCTGTGGCCTTGAAAACAAATTCGGTCTTGAGGACTAGATTTAGGGCTGCTTTCTGAATGAGGACTCAGAGCGATTTGATCATCGTTTCCCTCCTGAAAAGCCTTTCACCAGTAGCCTGGTTTATTTTGGGGGGGTGGGGGGTGGGGCAGGGAAGGACAGTGTTTTCGAAATCTCCGGCAATCTCTTACATGAGATTTTGCTACAATATTTTCACAAGTCTCATAAAGTACTATTTTCTATGTTATCAGGCAATTTTCTTTGAAATATGCATGCCGCTTCAAAATTAACTCCCAAGTTGCAGTCAATATGTTGCATGTGATATGATAGTAATAGGTTATATATATATATAAAATATAATATGATAGTAATAGATTGTATATATAAAATATAATACATATTACTGTGTGTATATGTGTGTGTGTGTTAGTTGCTCAGCCATGTCCAATTCTTTGCGACCTCATGGACTATAGCCTGCTAGCCTCCTCTGCCCATGGAATTTTCTAAGCAAGAATACTTGGCCGTTGCTTTCTCCAGAGGACCTTCCCGACCCAGGGATTGAACGCAGGTCTCCATTGCAGGCAGATTCTTTACCACTGAACCACCAGGGAAACTCTATATATTACCATATGTATGTATAAATATGGGCTTCCCGGGTGATGCTAGTGATAAAGAATCCACCTACCAATGCAGGAAATGCAAGAAATGTGGGTTCGATTCCTGGGTCCGGAAGATTCCCTGGAGAATGAAATGACAACGCACTCCAGTATTCTTGCCTGGAAAATTCAATGGACAAAAGAGCCTGGCAGACTAAAGTCCACGGGACCACAGAAATTCAGAAACAACTGAGCAACTGAACAAGAACAACAAATGTGTAAATAAACACATATATGAGATATATGCATATATGATATGTGTGTATATGTATATATATGTATGATAAGAATCTAGAATATTATCTGACATCCCTGAGACATAAATCAAGTTTAGCCAGATCCAGCTGGCTGGTACCTTGACACAGCAGACGTGATCCAATGTTTAACTCTTACTTGGAAGCTCATTTCATCAAATTCAACATTAAAAGTAATTTCATGGGTGAGTTGTAATGGATATTCACATCATTCTAAACTGTAAAGTACTGTTCCCACCTCAGCTCTTCCTATTGTACTTTTTCTTCCAAAAAAGGAAAGGTGCCCTGCATTTCCTGCCAAAACTCCTGTAGGTGGAAGAAGCCGGGGATCCTGGAGATTCCCAGGAAGGGCCCAGGACTCCTCCTGTGCAACCAACTCTCTGCCTCCAACCACGTGCTTCATCTGCCTCATCTGGTTTAGCATCAGGAAGGTGTGGGGGTTGGCTTGTGGCTAGACAGTGTTCCCCCAGCTCTTTAGGAGAACATTAGTAGGTGGGCAAGGAAAAAATTTTAGTTTGGAGAATGCCTTGTATTCCAGTCTGCTTCCTTGTAGAGATTTTCATCTAGTGTTAGGATGTTAAAAGACTCAAGGAGACACAAGAAGCCTGTTTAAGGTCACACACAGAGCACTGCTCTCTATCACAATGATGAAATGGATCTCTAAGAAAAATCAAAGATGACCACTGATTTCTCATTAAGCGTCAATTCCATGCACAGTGCCATGTTCAGTGAGGGTATGTAAATATCTCTGAAGGATGACACTGAATGGACACTAAGCTGCTATGACCAGCAGCAGCAATACACTCTTTTGATGCTGTTTTCTGGGGCTGTCCTAATACAGTTCCTCACACTGAGGCCTTAAGCAATAGAATCAACTGCCTGGAGTTAACTGTTCTGGAAGCTACAAGTCCCAAATCAGCAGCGTTGGTTTTCTCTGAAGGAAGGCTCTGTGTCTGGCTTCTCTCCTAGTTTCTGGTTTTTTCTTGGCATGTGGCAACATAATTCTGGTCTTCACATGGGGTTTTCCCTGTGTGTGTGTGTGAGAGAGAGAGATACCAGTCATATTGGATTAAGGCCTACCCTTGTAACCTCATTGTAACTTGATTACTTCTGTAATCACCATATTTCTAAGTAAGATCTGGAAAGTAATTCTGAGTTGTAGAGATTAGGACGTCAGCCTCTGAATTTGGGGAGAGTGGCACACAGTTCCACTGGAACAGCTGCACTGCACTCACACCCCATGCACAGATATGCACCCTTGTGCAAGCAAAACTGTGAGCTTGTGGAAACTACATGGGCTGTAAGTGTTCAGCAGACCTGGGTCCTAGTATTGGCTCTCATTTGCCAGCTGGTGAATTTGAGTGCATTACTAATTTTAAATCTTTAAGCTCCTCACCTGCCAAATGTGAATATTGACACCCATCCAGAATGTAGCTTAGGTCAGGGGCTGGCCCCTAGCAGACGCCCAATAAAGGCTCAACAGCTCCCTCTGAGGACCTAGACTTGCTGTATGCTCACTGCAGATTTCCCTAGAAGACAAGGAAGATGGCTACAGGCATCTTACACAGCAGCCTCAAGGTGACCCAGATCTTTCTTAGAGGGAATGCCAAGACCTAGATTCAGATGTGGCACTTCTGTTGCACTCGGGTCCTCAGAGTCTGCAGGCTCCGTTCGTCCATGTGAAAGCAAGTCTGCTGCATGAGTTTTCTGGAGCCCACAGTTTGTCAGGTGCAGTGAGTCTTTGTGAAGTGCTTCCCCAGAGCTGGGGGGACATCCCTGCCCATCTCAGCTGGACTTCTCTGAGGAACACAAAGATGCCCCAGTCTCCTAACTTACCCGTGTTGGGCATCCGCTCTCTGCAGGGTCAGGTCAGGACAACAGGGACGCAGTTAGGGCATGTGTACAAATCAGACCCGATCCCTGCCTGCCTCAATCTATATTCTAGCGAAGGAGACAACTGACAAGATAAGCAGACTAAGCAGTATTTTAAATGAATGTGTTCTGCTGTGAGAATCGTACAAAGAGGAGAGACCTGGGCTGAGAGACTGTTTCTGTCTCTGTCTCATGCTGGGCTGTTATGCTGGGGTCCGGTGCTAGAGCTGACCCTTGTTCCAATTGTCCCCCCTTTTCATTGACCAGGGGTGACCACAGTGCTGACCATGACGACCCTCAGCATCAGTGCCCGGAACTCTCTGCCCAAAGTGGCTTACGCAACAGCCATGGACTGGTTCATAGCCGTGTGTTATGCCTTTGTGTTCTCTGCGCTGATCGAGTTTGCCACTGTCAACTATTTCACAAAGAGAGGCTGGGCCTGGGATGGAAAAAAAGCCTTGGAAGCAGCCAAGATTAAGGTACTGACTTCATTTTCTTCCTTACTCCAGAGAAAACAGGCCGGATTTCATGTCCAACCATAAGACCAAATGTTTCTCTTCCCTACATCCCTCCCCCTGAAAAATGATTCCTTCCCTTATATTCACGGACCTTACAAAGTCTTATAACAGATCCTGTTTTAACTTTATTTTCAGTCACCAGCTTCATTCAAGGGAAAGATCTGACTTCATGTGGATGGTTTGGGCTTGTTTATACTCAGGCCTATTTCTTTTGATGAAGTACCTTCTGTCTGTTCAGGAACTACTTACCCAGTTTTGAATTACCCAGTTGTTCTGCTATTTCTTTTGCCACTTCACCATGCAGTGTGTCTTCTGTAAGGTGGCTGAAGGTCATGAAGGGAGCATTTGAATTATTGAAAGCAACACAACTGCAAACACACCTGATTCTACTCATGAGATGATCTGGCTTGCTTAAACGAGGCATGAGTTATTGTGGGAAGCATTTTTCTGTGCAGAGCAATTAAGTGCTGAGTATATAGAAAGAGATTGGTGCCTGAATCTAAAAAATATTTGAAGAAAAAGGTTGTGCAATATTCCAACTTGAACCAGGTCCTTGGGGAAAAGAAAATAACATACATGGAAGAGAAAAGAAATAGCACATGGTAAAGTGCTAATTATACCGTACATAAAACAAATGAGCAAGTGAGAGATGAGAGATGAGCAGGCCAGAGTTGTTAGAGCAGACTTGAACGTGAAACTCCATCTGTCCTTTGGAAATCATCACGAAGGCAGTCCTGGAAGGCCTTCCTGAAGACTGGACCCCAGACCCATGATGGTGCCTAGATAGTTTGCTGCTGCTGAGGGCACTCAGGGGTGCACACCCACAACAGTACAACTGGTTTATTTTTTTGCATTCAACACAGCTGTTCTTTTCTTACGAAAAGTCCAAAGTTTTGACTTGACCTGGCCCATCAGATTCTTCCTACTTCCAAGCACCATGAGTCCACTCCCACGCCGAGGTTTCAGTCATGAAAGAAAGACCTGCTTCCAGGTCCAGTTCACCTGTATGGAGATGGAGGAAGGGGCCCTAGTGGGCCCGTATCAGGCCCCTGAGGGCAGGAGGGGGGGAGAGGTGCCCGGGCAGGCCTTGACAGGCACAAAGCTCCCAGATGGGTGTGTCTGGGGGAGGTGACGGGGGCAGGGGCCAGCTGAGCAGAGCGGGCGGTTGGCCGAGAGCTGGGAGAACACTGCAGAGACAGGGGGCTGTCAAACTGTGGGGGCTCTTGACTGAAGGGTCCCAGTAGGCAGAGCCACGGGGATGTTCGTACCCCGACAAGCCTGAAGTCTGGGGAGAGGGGCTTCCCGGCCCTGTGTTGCCGGGAAGTAAATGTTTGCTATGGGCCTGGTGAGGGTCAACTGGAGGTGGCCCCCTTGAGTGGGGCAGCCAGCTGGGAGGTGCGGCAGGAGCTGAGTCCGTCAGGCTTATGTCTGTGAGCCTGGGAGGAAGGCAGAGTGGCAGAGAGGCCCTGAATGTTGTCAAGTGGGCTGTCATCATCGTCAGCCACCTTATTCTCCCGCACATGGCCTCCCTGTCCTTCCCACTCATCACAGGTCTGGGCATAGACCAGAAGGGAGAGGAGGGCTTGGAGGTAAAGTAGCTTGTCTCACTCCAGACTAGCACTGATCTCCCAGAAGACTGTGTGTTGCCCCCAGAGGTGTGGAGCAGGGGGTCCCATGCCCCAGGCCAGTGGAGGCATCAGGGTATCTGGAGGCATCCCGGCCAGCAAGCCATACTTTAGACGTGTGGTGAGCACGAATAAGGAAGTGTATCATTACTCTTTTTGCGTGAACTGGCTTTTACTTATAAGCGGAGAAAACTTGAACACCAATCTGTTTGCCATCATTACCTGTTGGGGTCTTCAGAGTTGGGGGTGCCAGGCAGTTTTTCTGGGTGAACACCTGTGAAAGGATAGAGGAAAAAGTTCAAGTTGACTGTGAAGGGAGTGGTCTGCTGGCCACTGTGCCCTCAGCTGGGCAGCAAGTCTTCCCCGAAAGAGCACCAGGGGCCCGTCTCCAACCACTGTGGCGGTCCTAAGGCTCGTGCGCTGCCTCCCCCAAGCAGGACTCCCGCTCCTGAGACCACCCTTCTGTCCTCCAGTGTCTGCTCTGCCCTGGTTACCCCAGGACATGAAGGCTGCACAAGACACTGACGAACCTAGTCTGTCAGGCTGGCGGCAGCCCCGCACGTGTGCACACAGAACCACAGGGTCCGCAAAGGGCCCTCCTGGAATGCTGCTCACAGGCCCTGCTCTGCCTTGAGGCTCATGGTCATCCTTGCCGTGGGCCCAGGTTCTCATGCTCCCTGGGGCTGGGTCTGTACGCGCACTTACTCAGCCTCACTTTCCACCATGGCTTCCTGCTCCCTTTCCATGTCCTTCCTCTCTGCTTTTTACTTTTCACATATTTTTAACAGTTAATATATTTTCTTTTCTGTTTTAAAACTAGAGTCACCAGGCTGTGCACTATATTTCCTGATCTTATTTATTTTATAACTGGAAGTTTGTACCTTTTGACCACCTTCATCCACTTTGCTCCCCACCCTACCCTGACCTATTTGGATCCTACGTATAAGTGAAGTCATACGGTATTTGTCTTGTCTGATTTATTTCACTTAGAACAGTGCTTTCAAGGTCCATCCCTGTTGTAAATGGCAGGATTTTCTTCATTTTTAATGGCTGAATAGTATTCCACTGTGTGTGTGTGTGTGTGTGTGTGTGTGTGTGTATGTATTAGTATATAGTATAAGGATTCCCTGGTGGCTTAGCAGTAAAGAATCCACCTGCAATGCAGGAGACACAGGATCAATCCCTGGGTCGGGAAGATTCCCTGGAGGAGGAAATGGCAACCCACTCCAGTATTCTTGCCTGGAGAATCCCATGGACAGAGGAGCCTGGTGGGCTACAGTCCATGGGGCTGCAAAAGAGTCAGACACAACTTAGCAACCAAAGTGCATTCATATATATGTATATTCATGGTCAGTCACTTCACCTATGTGTATATGCATATATATGTGTGAGTGTGTGTGCATTTTGTTTATCTGTTCGTCTATTGATGGATACTTGTTGTTACCAATCTTTGCTATTATCTTGCATGTGAAATTCTAGAACAGGCAAAATAGTTTATGGTATTAAAACCCAGAATAGTGGTTCCTTTTGCTGTGGTGAGGATGGAAATGGACTGGGAAGGGGCATGGTGACCTGGAATGCTGATGGTGTTCTGTCTTGATCACCAAGACAGAGAAATTTAATTTAAATCTCATTAAATTTAATTCAATGAGACTGTGTTAACTTGATAAAAAAATAGAATTTTTCTCAACATTCTGTCATGAGAATTTTCAAACATGTGGAAATTTTGAAGAATTACAGAATGAAAACCTCTACTATTAACTTTTTACTATGCTTGTGTCTTCACCACCTATCTGTCATTTATGTCACCTAACACCTGTCTATCCTTCATCCATCCACCCCTCCTCAGTCCATCAATGCATCTTAATTCCTGACGGATTCAAAGTGAATGGTGCATTTCCCACTATATACTTCAGCAAGCATATCACTAATTAGAGTTCAATATTCATTTACTGTTTGATTCTCTTGAAGCAAAATTGACAGAGTGTGAAGTGCACAAACACTAAGGGTACTCCTGAGAAGGCTTGACGATCATGCTCACCTGTATAACCCAAACCCTTCACCTGTATAACCCAAACCCTGTGAACACAGCACGTGGTCACACTCAGAGAACATGCTCACCTGTATAACCCAAACCCCGTGAACACAGCGCACGTCGTCACACTCCAGGCCACAGGCCCCTTCCCAGTCCATTCCTGTCCTCGCCACACCAAAGGGAGCCATTTCCTAACCTTTCTACCATAAACTATTTTGCCTGTTCTAGAATTTCACATCCAAGACTGGCCATGGGGGGTTCTGAGCTTAGAAGTCTGTGGAAGGCTGTCCTCCACCAGAGATCAGCTGATCCCCCTATCTGTCTCTGTCTCTTTAGAGAGAGAAACCCTTAGAAGAGAACTGATAGTTGCTTGCAAACATCATGCTCTTACATTCTTCTTCTATTTTGCAGAAAAAGGAGCGTGAACTTACAATAAATAAGTCAACAAATGCTTACACTACTGGGAAGATGACCCACCCCCCAAACATCCCGAAGGAGCAGACCCCTGCAGGGACCACAAATGCCTCTTCAGCCTCAGTTAAACCTGAAGACAAGACTTCTGAAAACAAAAAGACTTACAACAGCATCAGCAAGATTGACAAAATGTCCCGAATTATATTCCCAGTTCTGTTTGGCACTTTCAACCTTGTCTACTGGGCAACATATTTGAATAGGGAGCCAGTGATTAAAGGGGCTACCTCTCCAAAGTGAGCTTTCGTGCTCCCAAACTCCAAGAGAGCCATCCGTCAGTGACGGCACCAAGGAGAGGTTGAACTTGGGGGGCCTCCCTTATTTGGGCACTATCTTTCAGGAAATTTTTGCATGTTTAATTATATGTACCAATAATATTGCCTTGATGTTTCTATATATAATGTCAGATGTTTCAGAGATGACACATTGATAAATAAATCAAGCCACTTTCTAGAAAAACAGGAGTCATGGCACTGACACTCAGATGCTCAGCACCTTACACTGATAGTTTACAAACAGGTATATTTTTAACCGTTCCAAGTGTTACCTAACAATGTTTTTTATACTTCAGATGTCATTTCATACAAATTTTCCCAGCAAATAAATATTTTAGGAAATGCTCCATGATTATTACTTGACCAACTCTCACAAGAAACAGATATCACAAAGCACATTTTGCATTGAAAATGAAACTGTGGGCATTTATGTACAAAACTAATTGCCTTTGATAATTCTTTGAAATTAAAGAATTTAATTGCTCTGAAATTAAAACTACTGCATGATCTTATGTTAAGAAATAAATATTTATGCAGACATTTAATAATAGAAGTATATAGTATGTTAGATTAACAGATAAAATATTTCCCCAAGTTAAAATTTAACTGCTTAAAAAAATTTTTTTTGGTGGAGTTCGAGGGAAACTTACTTCTCTCCCTCTGACCACCCACCCCCGACCAACTAACTGAACAATGACCAAGAAAGAAAAGATCTTAAAACAAAAAGTAGTGTGATGACAGTCTTGGCATCTGACCTGAGCATCCACTGTCTGAAACACTGACCACAATTCACTGCAGCCAGAGTATAGTGCTTCAGTGGTGAGAAACTGTAAATGACTTATTTTCCATTTTTATTTCCCTGTATGTTATTTCATGATTGACTTATTGCTCTGTAAGCTTTTGTATATGAACCTTAAATGTTCATTAAAAAATAAAAATGAAACTGATCTTGTGGGAAAATGTCATTTTCTGAAAATATTTCAGATTTTGGTGGGTGTACTGACTCATTTTCTAAAGATGATGTAAAGGAAACCCATCATCATGATGAAAGTGCTTGGGAAAAAAGCCTCTTACTTAGCTGTTCATCTCTCTTCCAGTCTGATTCTTTGTGGCATGTAAAGAGAAAGCTGACTTCAACCACGATGAGGTGAACAGGTAGAACCAGAAGTTCTTTCCATCACGTGCATCTCCATGATACAATGCTCCACCGGTCTCTGCTCGATAGAGTGCTCCCTGAAGGTAAGGTTACTGCAGAGTCCTCCATGCCTTTCCTTCTGCTCTTTGTGAAGAGTGATACAAAGAAATGCATGTAGACCATCTGTTTACTGTTAGAGGATAACATGTATGAAAGGAACAGTTTCTTTTTCTTCTCATAAAAGGGATTTTACGACTATTAGCAAATGGTATCAAAGTTCAGTTCAGTTCAGTCACTCAGTCATGTCTGACTCTGCGATCCCATGAACCGCAGCACGCCAGGCATCCCTGTCCATCTCCAACTCCCAGAGCCTACCCAAACTCATGTTCATTGAGTCAGTGATGCCATCCAACCATCTCATCCTCTGTCATCCCCTTTTCTTCCTGCCCTCAATCTTTCCCAACATCAGGGTCTTTTCCAATGAGTCAGCTCTTCAAATCAGGTGGCCAAAGTATTAGAGTTTCAGCTTCAACATCAGTCCTTCCATTGAACACCCAGGACTGCTCTCCTTTAGGATGGACTGGTTGGATCTCCTTGCAGTCCCAGGGACTCTCAAGAGCCTTCTCCAACACCATAGTTCAAAAGCATCAATTCTTCTGCACTCAGCTTTCTTTCTAGTCCAACACTCACATCCGTACATGAATACTGGAAAACCATAGCCTTGACTAGATGGACGTTTGTTGACAAAGTAATGCCTCTGCTTTTTAATATGCTGTCTAGTTTGGTCCTAACTTTCCTTCCAAGGAGCAAGCGTCTTTTAATGTCATGGCTCCAATCACCATCTGCAGTGATTTTGGAAGCCCCCAAAAATAAAGTCAGCCACTGTTTCCATTGATGGGACCGGATGTGATGATCTTAGTTCTCTGAAGGTTGAGCTTTAAGCAGACTTTTTCACTCTCCTCTTTCACTTTCATCGAGAGGCTCTTAGTTCTTCACTTTTTGCCATAAGGGTGGTGTCATCTGCATATCTGAGGTTACTGATATTTCTCCTGGCAATGTTGATTCCAGCTTGTGCTTCATCCAGCCCAGCGTTTCTCATGATGTACTCTGCATAGAACTTAAATCAGCAGGGTGACAATATACAGCCTTGACGTACTCCTTTCCCAATTTGGAACCAGTCTGTTGTTCCATGTCCAGTTCTAACTGTTGCTTCCTGACCTACATACAGGTTTCTCAAGAGGCAGGTAAGGTGGTCTAGTATTCCCATCTCTTCCAGAATTTTCCATAGTTTATTGTGATCCACACAGTCAAAGGCTTTGGCATAGTCAGTAAAGCAGAAATAGATGATTTTTCTGGAACTCTCTTGCTTTTTCAATGATTCAGCAGATGTTGGCAGTTTGATCTCTGGTTCCTCTGCCTTTTCTAAAACCAGCTTGAACATCTGGAAGTTCACGGTTCATGTATCAAAGTTAAACCCACCGAAACTGACTATTTCATGGAACTTAATTCTTAAAAAACTCATACACCTTGGCATGTTTGATGGACACATATATGGTTATGGTCATGGCCATGGACATATGTAAAGGCATATATTCAGAAGTCTTTTATCTTGAATAACTATATAAATGCCTACAGCATCCACTCACTGAAAACTCCCAAGTACTTATTCTGAGAAATATTTCCACAGGATTCAAGATCAAGTATTATATTTTCCTGTATAGATGTATGGATGTGAGAGTTAGACCATAAAGAAAGCTGAGCACTGAAGAATTGATGCTTTTGAACCGTGGCATTGGAGAAGACTCTTGAGAGTCCCTTTGACTGCAAGGAAATCCAACCAGTCCATCCTAAAGGAGATCAGTCCTGGGTGTTCATTGGAAGGACTGATGCTAAAGCTGAAACTCCAGCTTTGGCCACCTGATTTGACTAACTGACTCATTGGAAAAGACCCTGATGCTGGGAAAGAGAAGGGGATGACAGAGGATGAGATGGTTGGATCGCATCACTGACTCGATGGACATGAGTTTGAGTAAACTCCGGGAGTTGGTGATAGACAGGGAGGCCTGGCGTGCTGCAGTCCATGGGGTCACAAAGAGTCAGACATGACTGAGAGACTGAACTGAACTGATTATATTTTATCACAGTAGTGTGAGAGATGCACAGAACTACTACATTCTTCAAAAAGACTGGTGCCCATTTATGGCATCCCTGGTTCATTAAATATATAGAGGTTCCATTGCCCCTTCTCTGCCTTGTTTCAGGCTATCATAATAGAATAGTAAAGTTCAACAAAAAGGATGCTCCTAAAGCTTCACACAAGAAGCGTTTCTCTTTTACAAATAGTGGTATATTTATAGAACTATCTGTGCTTTCCATTATACCCTGATAGCTCAGTTGCTAAAGAATCCACCTGCAGCAGTTCGATTCCCGGGTCAGGAAGATCCACTGGAGAAGGGATAGGCTACCCATTCCGATATCCTTGGGCTTCCCTTGTGGCTCAGCTATTAAAGAATCTGGGTGCAATGCAGGAGACCTGGGTTTGATCTCTGGGTTGGGAAGATCTCCTGGAGAAGGGAAAGGCTACCCACTCCATTATTCTGGCCTAAAGAATTCCATGACTGTATAGTCCATGGGGTCACAAAGAATCAGACACGACTCAGTGACTTTCACTTTCATTTTCACTTTCCACTATACCACAGCATAAAATCAGCCAAAACCAAAGGCAAATCTGATGCTGACTGTGCAACTTCTGTTTTTATTTACTGTTTATTTATATTTGTTTATGTAGTCTTCACATTTTAGCTTTACATTATAGTTTGGAGAAAAATATAGTATAGGTTGGATCTAAAAGGCTCCACACAAACATTCTGAACATCTCAGTCCTAATGGGAAATGTTATCTTCAACATTAGGTTGCAATAATTTTCTTGACAAATTCTAGCCTTTGTTACAGGAAACCCTCAGAACCCTGCTAGGGGAATTCCAGTTTGAGGTTACTGCTGCATTTATATTCTGCTCAGTCTTAAATCTGAGCAAAATTTAGTGAAAAGGATCACATTAGTTTTCTGTTGATTTTGTACTATAGATATTTCAGTGTTTGTTATTTTTAATGAGGATATCATGAAGAATCACCTTGGGAAAAATGATAACCAGGTAGGAAATAAAATTTTTGAAAATAATTATAAATTACACTGCCCTACTTTTAGAACCAGAGTATTTAACATATCTCTTTTGACATCATCCTAAATAGAAAGAATATTCTAATAAGTCAGCAATCAGTATTACCTCTCTGTTTCTCAGAAAGAGATGGGTCTATTTAGGGCAGGCTGTGGTGAAAGTTGACCTAAATGCTTATATACAACAATTTGGTTCAGATATTCCTAGAGTAACTATCTAAGTTAAAATGGTACAGCAACACCTTGCATTTAATGTTGACAAGGATTATGTAAATCTCCTAATATGTTTGTTATGTTGATGCTTTAGGAATAAGGCTCTGTGTCTCCTTTGGGATAAGTTAGGGGAAATAAGTAAGGTAAATGAGAAATGTCTATTTTACAATAAGGATCAGTTCAGTTCAGTTGCTCAGTCATGCTGACTCTTTGCGACCCCATGGACTGCAGCACTCCAGGGGGAGTCCATCACCAACTCCTGAAGCTTGCTCAAACTCATGTCCATTGAGCCAGTAAGGATACTGCAACACGAAGAGGCTAATCCATTGGCTCAAATCTTATCACATATTAGGAAAATATATATTTCAATTCTCATAGTTTCTAAATTTGGCTTCACAATACCATCCAGTTGCCTCCAGATGGAAGTTGATTTAGAACAAAA